TTCTCTTACAAAGTTGTTTTAACAAAGAAATTATCTTAAAACCTTTGTGATAGGCTTCAAGCCTCTGTTTTAATTCCTTTTTAATTTTATTAGATATGCTTAGATGTCACTAAGCATGCTTAGAAAAACCCTCTTCCTAAATGATTACCCACAAATCTTCTATGTCAGTTCTTGTAGTACAGCCTTTAAATTTCTTGGGCTACGTGACAACTATTATATTCCAGAATACACTTCTAAAGGCTCAGACAATTCCAAAAGTGAATCCCCTTCATATTTCAAAGTTTGTAGTTGTAAGAGATGCTGTACAGAAAGAAAATTCACAAATCAGCATTTCCATGTTTGTGGACATTTTTTTTCTGATTGCTGAAATTCCATTCTGTTCTCTTAGATAGAAGATGCCTTCTGTCTTGTTTCCTTGCAGTCTTTCAGAATGTTTTCTTGGACGTGTGTGTAGAAAGTGAACAGTGAACTTCCTCTTCAGTTTTTATTTAGCTTCTCTTCTTTAGTTCTTGCAGTTTCTTTCTTAGTTCTCATGTCCACTGCCTTTTAATAACAGTGAAAAGTCAAGTATTTGTAGGCATTAGTCTTTAAAATTTCTATAGCTTTAAATAAAAGTAACAACTCATTGCAATGAAGTGTCATCTGATAGAGAACTACAAATTCAGGTTCATCCACTCTTGTATCCTGGGACCTGACCTTCCACATAAGAGTGAAGCGAATGGTGCTGTGAACAGTTGAATTATAAAAACACACCCCATTTTAGAATTGTATAACAAAGCACTGCCCTTAAGGGTATTTATTTTAACATATTAAACACTTTATGTTATAGTCTGGTGTAAGGTCAAGTGTGTTCTTCCAGTCATTTTAAAGATAGAAGTAAACAGTGGCTTCTCAGGGCTGTAAAACCACAGGAAGTGACTTGGCTCAAGAAAGCATGAAAAGCCCTAGAGAAGTTTTTGTAACATACTTACAGAGTGTTCTCTGTGTAAGTTTCCTAGAAAAACTTAAGAATTTACCTAAAACCTGAAACTTAAATGGAAAATTCACACAGCAGTAGGCACTGTATCAGTATATTCTGATTGTGTGTGTATGGTGAGCTGATAAAAGGAAGAAGTCAATCAGCAATTCATGTATTCTGTACCAAGAATTTTAAAATACCATATTTTAGATTTGGAACCTGACAGAAGTGAATTACAGCTATGGTTTAAGGCTCTAGGGACGTTATTAAATATACTGGTAATTTCTGCTTGTCCACAAGTCACTTAATTATTTCCTTCATTCCTGGTAGAGCTAGAGACAATACTAAAATCAAAGACAGTCCTGTGTAAATCTGACACTGTTGCAAATATTAAATTGCAATAGAAGTTTAAAATTATGAAGAGACCTAGGGAAATGAAAATACTCTATTGACCTTGGAACTAGCACCACTTGGGAGACTTTGTCATTGCCCAATTCTTCCTGTAATGTAAACATTAATGAGAAAGCTTCAACTGTCTTGATTTATGACTTGCTATCATAATTTATTTTGTGTATTTGTTATTCAGTAGTCAATGCATGATCACTGCTTACTGTGAAAGTTGTGCTGCTGTTGCTCTTTTCCTATATTCTGCCTCAGCAGGTATTCTGAGGAAGAAGCACACAGGTCTGCTGTCCTTAAGGAAGAACTTTTAATTCAAGTCACTGTTACTGAACTATTTTTAGGCTTCCCAGCTCCAAAGATGTAACCTTAGCTGTGCCAGAATAATATTGCATGTTATCAGCCATGGATTAAAGGTCCACAATACAGTACAGCCCAAGCACTGTACTGAACCTTCCAAATCAGTGTAGTATTCAGACACCTGTCAAGGTGTCACAAGTACTGTTGTGCACTGCTTGACTAGAAGGTCAGAGGTTGTAGAAGTTGTGTAATCTTTAAGGCATTTCTCTAGTGAACTGGGATCACCAGACACTGCAAAGTCTCTGTAAGCAGGTGACTTGAGAATAGATCTAGTATTTCCAGGAACTGGAAGGGAAGATAAGAGGGCCTGAGATAAGTCATGCATGGTTCAAGTCTTAATTTCTTTACCGAACACAGAAGTGCCCTTCATTTGCATAAACTTTTTTGTGTTGTTTTGTTTTTTGACATGCAATTTCTGACTAGAATCCTGACATGGATTGTCTTTAAGAATCATGTTAACTTCCTCCCTTCTTCCAAATTCCTCCTCTAGAGGTGCTTTTAGTGCAAAAGCAGGATAAACTAGTCAGTTGTTATCAGCTAGGGCCACTTAAAGTTTATTTTTAAGACGTAGTAAAAGCTATGTGCCAGATGTCACCATGACTACTCTTCCCAGCTGATCTATTTGTTGATTTACTTATATGCATGAGGGACTGCTCCTTTCTTGCAAGCAATGTTCACACAATACATTTGTTCATCCTCTGTTAGATCTTGGCATAGTATGAGCACCATATTGAATACAAAATTTTGGGTACAGTAAGCAGTCACTGAGATTAATATTACAGGCATTACCATCAGAAATTAAACCAGTTCTTATTTTTAAGAGAGTTTTAATGCTTCGAAGAACTCAGTTCTTACAAAGTCATTGTCAGTTGCGATGGTGTGAAACATGGGGACTGAAGGCTGATCAGGGACTCAGTACAGCACCTTATGACTCTCCAAGAACCTCTGTTCAAGACACTACATGAGAAATAAACTGCACTTTTCCCAGGGAGTGAGAGGAAAGTTAAGAACCTAAATTATTTTCTGTCTCTGAGTGCTACTCTTTTTAGATTAAAGAGTTCAGCTGAGGTAAATCAGAACCATTGACCTGCTGCATTTTGGCGCATGTTTCATTCTGGTCTATCTCTGTGGACCAGCCTTCTTGCCTTATCAGACTAACCTTCTAGCAGGGTCAGAGTAGGGTTTTCTTCTGAGATACCAGTTACGTAGTTTTACTCTTGGCGAAACCTATTACAGATATTTTCTGCGAGTATGATCCTTACAGTCAGATGCTTGCATGCCATCTTGCTCTCTTGCTTGTCATGATACAGCGTCATAGGAGGAATGTCTGAAAGAGATAACATGAAGAAGGAAACATCTCACAAAATGAGACTCTCTGTGCTCCATGTTTCACAGGACTGACAGCTCACCCTAGCTGAACTCTTCAGTCGGCCAGATGGGGAAGCCCATCTTTGCATAAGAACATCCTCTAAGAGTCTTTTTTTGTGCTATTAATAGTGCATGGTGCTCAGGATTTTTTTCTCAAGTAATGCTAAGTCTCCTCAAGGCCTGTTTTCTATCATACAGATGTCTGTGTATACACAGAATCTTGCAAAAATCAACTTTAATGTATAGACTATGCATATATTTACATATGCACATACTTACAATGTCATAGACACATGCACGTCTGCTGTAGGCTGATACAAAACCTTGGCTTTCTTTATACCAAAGCAATGTATATGCAAGAGGACTGTCCTCAAAAGTAGATTCTGTGACATGTCCTGCTGCTAGGTGGTTGTTTGAAATTTTAATTAGAACTAACTTTACTATATTTGGAGCTCTATACATCCACTGTGCTGTAGTGGGCTTATAATTTCAGCTAATAGAAGGAGCTTTGCTGTCAGTGATTTCCATTTTGAGAACATTTTCTCATTCTGCATTGTCTCAGAGTAAAAAACTTTAGTATTTTTTCTTACCAGACTAATTTTTATGACAGGAAAAAATTCATTCTAACTCATGAAATGATCTTGTAGTTCAGCCATTTTGTGTATTTGCTTGAGAGCTTTATTGCCTTGATGAGATTTATTAGTCTGCTGCACTGCATAGGGAGAACATCCCATAGGAGGTAACTAAATAACAGTAATTCCACAGTATTCCTGCAAAAATTCACAAATGTGGATGCTGCCATGCCCTGAAAAAAAGCTAGGAAGTGGTCAACAATATTTTTTACAAAGCTGCTTTGTTTCACGTGGGAAGGGTGAATACCTGGTGACTTGCCTTTACATAGAACAGTGAAGTTATGTGGCCTCAGTAAAGAGCTGTCCCAGATCGAGCTAACCTTCTTTATCCAAGAAATCTCACAGACATAAAGCTAGCAGTTTGTGTGGTTATTTGATTTTCCAAATTACAGCTGCTAATACTTAGGCTTATCTAATTTGGAAAATGTTATGAGATCATTTAATAACAGTGCAATATAATTGCTGGATGTTACTAGTATAACTTCTCCAGTAAGAATAAAAGGTTGATGGCAGTTATTATTTCATAATCTAAGCAACGTAGCTCCAAATTTGTCTCATTGTAACATTTTGAGTAACTGTCAAATAGGAAAAAATAAAATAAAATTACATTTTCAAGCTGTTGCTTCCTGGTCTGTTGCACATCTATGGAGTCCAGGTTACTGCTGTAGATTGTGTTGAGTAGGATGAACCTGTAAGAAAGCAGTGTGTTTTCCAGGTTCGTTGGTGCTCTCTTCACATGGCAACTGAAGCCATGCTATGTAACAAAAGGGAGAGCAGCTATATATGTATTTCCAGGATGGTGTACACTAATACGGATTTGAAAAGGAAGGGACCTAATGGTGAAATGCTAATACATGATTTGGAGTTTCCCCATCCCTCAGAAAAGAAGGGGATGGAAAGGTTGGATTTTTGTTGTCAATGCGGTGTCAATTGATGTTCATGTCACACAGGACAGGGATGTTCTTCATATGACTGTTGCTCTGATTCCTGATGAACTTTCAGTCTGCAAGAGCTGGTAGCACTTATTCATGGTTTAAAAAGCTTGTGCTGGGAAAAAATGAAGCTCTAATATTTCTACTTTGCCTTTTAGGTTTAATTTTAAATTCTACTTCCTTGGAAAGGCTGAGAAGTATTAAAAAATAGTAACTGCTTAATGTAAGCTAGAACAAGAAGGGCTGTTCTGTAATTAAGCCTGCTGAATTTGTATTAATTTACACTAATCTAATTATTACTTTCTTTGAATGCTCTGCTGTGAGTCAAAATAAGCTAGTGCTGGATTTGAGAACCACAGAATGAGAAAAGTAAGCAAAAACTGCCAAGAGGTTTTTCTTTATCTTTTGATTTTTTGCGACTATAACAAACTGTGTAGACAAGTAACACTGCAAATGGATTTCTGAATATTGCATGGTTCTGCTTTTCAGCATGCTTTCTGTTGGTTAATAATGGCAGATTAACCTGTTCTGTGCTACTGCTTTCTGAGGTTGAGGAATGGTAGAACCTCAGTTCATGTGTACCTGCAATGAGCGGCAAGTCCATTAGCCAAAGGTACTGAAGCTGAAACATTGCAACTCCATGATATAATTCTTAAATGAAGTATGATAATTGTGTGGATTAAATGACTTTGTGTCTGTAAAGACACAGCAACCCATTACTTTGTTTTCAAAAGGAACTAATGCAGTAACCATTCTGGAAAAAAGTAGTATGGTTTGTAGTCCTGTGGTTGAAACAGTTATGATTCTTGGCAACTAGCACATGCAGAAACGCAAAGGTAGAATAAGATATGTTCCTATTTAGTTACTTTAAGTAGCCATTCTTCTTTGTATCACATAGCTTGGCAGTAGGTAGGGCAAGTCTTGGTCTGTTGGCTGTTCAGTGTTGGTACAGTGTCAGAAATTACAAGGACTGCAGTGGAACATATATCCACATTTTTCAAAGATAAATACATGTTGGGAGACTTCTAAATATATTTACCAAAGAAGCCCCAGGGAAATACTAAGCTTGTCCACTGAACCAAAATTTTGCATGTGTAAGGCACACCAGTGAAAACAAAGGTGGTTTTTATATATGTTGTATTTAATTTTCATGTACTCCAGTTTTTCAGTCAGATCCTTCTCACACCATTGCCAAGTATTCATGACTGTTCTCCATGCTTGTATATAATCAGACCTGTTCAATCCTGAACAGACAATGACCTTTTCTTATCTGCATTTGATGTATATTTTAACACATGCACGTGTTGTGGTAGTGTCTAGAGTATTTGCAGGCTGAGAGGAAAGCATCTTTACTCCGCAGTACCATTTTGTTTGTAGCACATACGCAGAGCACACTTACGTGTGATATTTGATGTCAATACTCTTCTGTCACTTTATTGTATATATATACTTACATAGAAGAAATTATTCCTATTATATCTCTATTATATCTCTAAGATATATAACACTCCAAATTACATTTTAAAATATTTAAGTATTAACGTATTAAAGATTTAATTGTGAATTTGAAACACTTAGCAAAAAGAACCAAAACAAAACAGCAAACCACAAACCGGTGTGAAACCTTGTTCTAATAACTTAGATAAATAGCTCTATTTTGTAGAAATATTTGTTATTGTTCTGTGCTTTATGCTGCACTGGAGGAGACAATGTCTGTGCCCTGAGAATTTAGCAGTAACAGGGCTTGATCCTGTGTATCATAATGGTGATTGGTCACAGTTTAAGTACAAAGTTAAAACTAACCAGCAGAGTAAGGGAGCTCAGGGGAACTTGCTCCTACTTAATTAGAAGTGTAGCTGGGCAGTCCACTTACAGCAGTCATGTGGCAGGATTTATGTCAGGGACTGGAGAGCATAAGTAAACACCTCCTTTCCAATCCATATTTTAAAAAATCTGCTTCTGCAGGCTGTGCCATTCTCGCCACCATTTAAAAAAATAAAAATCATTCTTGAGTAAAGGATGGGAGAGACAAGAGATTTGAATTCGTATCTCTGCCATGGCTTGTTCTATGTCTAGTGCTTTGCCTTGCTGCAACCCATGGCTAACAGGTATTTAGGTTTAATTTGGAACCAAAAGCATTTTAGTCAGTCCAATCCAACATGGGATTTGCAGGATTAAGGCCTAAATGGATAAAGTATCTAAAATGAAGAGACAGAGTGCATTACTAAGTCAAAGATAATTTGGTCTTCAAGTGTGCTTTCATAGAATAACTCTATATGGGCCTCTTATAAAGGCTTTTCTTGGCCTTTTTTATTTATTTGGTGACAGAAAAGTTACATCCTTAGGTCTTCCCTCGTCACCTGTAACAGTAGCATGCCTGTTGAATTGCTGATGAGACACTCACTGTAAATTCACTTATGGTTTTCTATGTTTATTATTTATTTTGGCATATTGCAGCGATGTACCGTTGAGGATGATCTGGAGTAGCATGGCAGCATGCAGAGCAATGAACTGTTATTCACTTGGAAGACTTGAGATGGACGTTCCAGTTTGAAGTGCAAAGGTTATGGGAGATGCTAATGGGAGCTCTTTGCTTTGCAGTGCTGCAGGGAGGAGCTCTGGATGGAGTCTACAGGCTGGTACAGTTTCACATTCACTGGGGATCCTGTGAGGGCCAAGGGTCTGAGCACACTGTGGATGGTGTGAAGTATGATGCAGAGGTAGGATGTACTTTGCCTTCTTCAGTCTTTTGTGTATAGTGAATTATTTTTTTTTAAATATTCCACCACAGTAGGAGCTTTTGTGCAGATACTCATAGGGCAAGAAATTGTGGAGGTTACCGGAGAAGATACAGTGTACAGTGCCATTCCAAGACCCCTTGCAAGATCAGAGATAAGGATTGGAGGACTGCTTTTTTTCAGCAACTTCATGTAAAAGAGACTACAGAATCAGAAAAAAAACACACTGCTTTCTCAGTGACTCTGGAAAATGTTGAAGAAATAGAATCGCAGCACCTCCATGCACAGACATCCCCTTTTTCTGTTTTGAATTTTTAACATTAGAGAGATTTATATAAATTACAGAATACTTTTGGGACAGACTCTTTCATCTTTTGATAGCAAATAAGCAAGGGAGCTGTGAAGAGGGCAGGTAGTAAAGTGAGACCACGCAGACACTCTCTATAATATCCTTAGACTTAAGATGTCCCTTGGACCACTACAGAAATGGAGTGACTTCAGTGCCTTGCATCCCACCTTTCTGTGTCCCCTGTTAGGAATCTACCTTTGAATGCTGTGAAAGATTTTTTTAACCATTTCATAAATGCACATTGGCTGAACATACTTGCTGCTTTTTCTTGAGACAGAAGTAGCTTTTGTCTTTTTTGAGAAACTTGCCAGTGCCTTCAGATCTATTCATAGTACCAGTTACTTGCTCAACTTGACTTGCAGATATGAGGAAACAGGTGAACTTCAGTTAGAAATAACTTGGAAATCAAAAAGAAAGCAACATCCTGGCTAACGGGACCTGGATATTGATTTCATGTTATTTTCAAAAGTTTTCAGAAAAGAACTGTTTTTAAAAAAACTCTCTAGATTGCAGGTCAAATCTATATCTCTTCTCTTTGACACCAACAATCATGTCTTCCAGTGTTGCTAAGAGCTCCAGGATATATACCATTAAAATCCTGCAGGCTGCAAGCAGGAAAAGCTCATGCTGAAGATAACAGGAGTTTCACTGAACTAAAAGCAGTATGATACAGCCACAGTTTGCATTTAAAACTCATCTGGGAATAGGAGTGAGAAGCAAAATAAAATGCATGACAAAAATCCCTTTGCATAAATTAAACTTGAAAGTAGATGAATCATTCAGCAAATTCTTAGCTGTACACAAAAGTTTTAAAATCTCTGCAGTAAAACACCATCTGCTCTTAATGCTTAATAAATTGCTTCCCTGTATCCTCATTTGTAAAATATTGTGGATGGAATATTATCTTCATAGTGCTGCTTGTTTTCTTTTTTCTAGCTCCACATTGTTCACTGGAATGTAAAATATGGTAAATTTGCTGAAGCTGTGAAGCATCCTGATGGTTTGGCTGTGGTAGGCATCTTCATGAAGGTTAGTTAAACATTTTCTTTTCTATTATTTCGTTGAGTCTAGTATGTTTGTTGTGTTGCAGGGAGACTTAAGAGCCTAAAATAAAAAATATTGCAGCATTCTGCTGTACTGCATACATCCATAGTGAGCTAGGTGGTGCTCCAAATTCTTTACTTTCTCAACATCTAGAAACTGTGCACCAGCCATGGAGTGTGACTGCCATCAGTCACCGGGGTGGCCCTGGGGCAGCATATTTGCCTTCATCAGGACAGTGACATTGCCAAAACTCTTAGCAGTGAAAGGTGATGTGGATAACTGACAAAGTTATGTGTGTATGAATATACAGTAGGACCAGCCTGAATAACACCTATTTTCCTTTTTCTGTCACTGGTAAATATCCAGAGCATTTTGTCTTAGTTGAAGTGGCTCCACAGCTAGTTGGAGGTGACTGTACCCCACAGTGTGCACTCTGTCCTGGCCTCGCTGTATTTTATTAGGAGGGTGACTTCTATGAAAAAAGAACAGCTCAAGTCCAAAAATAAATCCACATACTGCAAATGAAAATAACTTTAATCTGTCTAGTGTCCTTGGCTGACCCATTTATGCTGTCAACTGGCATGATTTTGCAGAGACAGTTCCAGTCACTTTTGCTGCAATACTCCTGATATGTAATGAAATAGTGCTGAGAAAATGTACTATATAATGTTTCCTTGAGCACTGTAACAGAAAACTAAAGGTATCTTGAGAGTGCATGGTTATTTTCTTTTCATGTGGTTTGTGTTACAGGTAGGAAATGCCAAGCCTGAAATACAGAAAGTTGTGGATGCTCTGAACTCCATTCAAACAAAGGTAGGCAGTATGTGCTCTCTGTGTTAATTTAGACCAATCACAACTGTGCTCTGTTCTTCAGAAAGTGTGTTTTTTAATTTATTTTTTTACTTCTTCCCCTTCTGATGCATGTGTGAAAGTAAAACAAACTTTCCCGCCAGGTGCTCCTGTAATCCTAAATGTGAAAGAGATTTAAGTGAAGTTGTGGTAGAGGGCAGGAGTACTAGAAATGGAGATCATTCTGTATTGCTATGGCTACATTTTTCTGCCTTCTAACTGCATTTAAACCAGTAGAGGTAGGATTTATCTTCCTAATCTAAACTGCTTTTCTGGGTGCCCTTTCTAGCCATTGGTAACTGATGCAAAAGGCGCTTTTCCTCATCTCTGTGTCTGTAGGATAAATTTCCTTCTTCTGAGAGGGAATGCTTCTCTGGGCTATTTCTAGAAGGAGTCCAGATAGGAACTTCAATCAGGATATGTAAATATTGGGGGGGGGGGGAAAGGCCTTTCTGTGTTTTAAATATTGTGTGAAATATATGTGTGATCTTAATGAGCTGAGTGATGAGAAACCAAAAGTACTTACTGAGTAAATAGATACCTTCACAGTGGCTAAAGGCCTGTGCCAATGAGAAATGTGGAAAGGAAAGGTAAAGAATAAGACTGCATTGTCATCTTTGTCATCAGGCTTCCTTTGAGGTAAATGGATGTAGCCTTTACTGCAGTGGACTCTCAGGTTCTCCTAAGGTCTGTATTTCTAGTACAATCAGTGTACATGGCATCTGAAATGTCACTGGTGCTTCAAGCAAGGTTAAATCATATGTCTAGGAGCAAGAAACATAAATTCAACATTTGAAATGAGAAACTGTGTTATGAAACCCTTAGACTGTAAGAAATATATTGCTGAAAGTTTTCAATCTAAATGTACTGTAGGAGACACTCAACACTTCACTCAGACTTCATTTCTGCTGTTCTCCAAACATGGAGTTTCTTCCCATTGAAGACTTTACTGCTGCAAGCTCAGCGTGTGAGCTCCTCTAATGTTAGTCCATTTACTTTCTTTTTTGTAGGGGAAGCAAGCTTCCTTCACAAACTTTGACCCTACTGGACTGCTTCCTGCATGCAGAGACTATTGGACATACCCTGGCTCACTGACCACTCCTCCACTGCTCGAATGTGTGGTCTGGCACGTTCTGAAGGAGCCCATCACTGTCAGCTCTGAGCAGGTAGGTCTGCAATAAATGGTGCCAGTAGATGTGTACTGGAGTCATGCTGATTTGTTCTGTTCAGCCCTCCTGGTAAGCTTTGAACTGACAGTTTATGTTACTGCAGAGCTATGCAGGGTTTTACCTAGCATCACGTGTCAAAAATGTATTTCCAGAGTGCTTATCCTCTTCTGACAGGACTCTGCTTCTATGTGTGGAAGTAGAGTTTGCTGTAAAACGTAAGGCTGTCCTCCATCTGGACACAGTCCAGGGAAAATTTGGGAGTTTTAAAGGTTTAATCAGGTTTTCCAGATAGGTGGTTAGAGCTGCCATGTGGTAAAAATCTGGGAAACTTCTAGCATGCATGAAGGGACCATTTGCACATGCAGTGTTAGTCTAGCATGTATTGGGAGCTTCAGCAGGTTTGCTGTACATACACAGAATACCTGTCTGGGTGTACTTGCCCTGAAAATACTGGGTTCACCAAGCATCTGAAGAGCATGTGTTCTGCATCCACAGTCTCACACTGTAGATTTGTAGTTGGTTTGTTGATCTTCCAGCATTTCCACGACACAGAGCTCATTTTACAAGTTCTATTCAGCACAGAACAGACTGGGAAATCCCACGCAAAATTGTGACAATCCTAACAAAACCACATTGTTTGGAAGAGACAAAACTTGCAGATTCCAGAAGTCCTGAAAAACTTCCTTTATTCTGTTGATCAGCTTGAGGAGAACAGAATCTTCCTAGTAGGAAGGAGTTCATATCAATTAAATCACTCCTGGTCCTAGCTTTCTGCACCAGGGGGTTTATTCAGCTGATATGATAAAAAGTGCAACTGAGCTGTTATGGGACTTAATGTAATAAAAGATACAGTAAAATACAAGGAAGAACTTTTGAAAATACTAATTATAGCAAATATTACCATCAATAAACTGTAAGGGAGCATTAAAGATGACACAGTTTACTTGTTCTAAACTGCTGGTATTACTATTGATAATCCAGGGTTTGCAATTATGGTTTTATTATGGGGCAGGAGCACATTCACCAAAATAGTTTTTTCCTACTACACCTACTTAAACTACCTACAAGCGGTAAATGACACCACTTGTTTCTCCCACACACACCCCTCTGTATTGCCATCAACATTTCAAAGATGGATTTGAGATCAAAACAGTGTGTATGGCAGCTTGCCTTTTTATTCCAAGGCTGGAAACAACCATAAAGCAGAGTATTGACACTGGGTTTAAGTTGAATTGGTTTGCCAGAGGTAGATAAAAGCTGGCTGTTAGAGCAGGGTGTAACGGGCCTGTTATCATTTGCTGTAGTGACACAACAGTTCCTGGCAGAGCCTGAGCTCTGAACTTTGTTCTAGTCAATCCTGAAAGTAAAGTCTTCTCCTGGGCTGGTCGCTGCTGGGGGCATTCTTGTAGCCTGACTTGTATGAAATCCTGTATCCCACCTACATATTTCTGTCAGCAGTTCCAGCTGTCTTTGCAAGATCACTTTTGGGATGGGTTGTTACTTTGGCACAGTCTTTTTAGTAGTTTTGGAGATTCTCACTTAGATATCAAGGTGCTCTTCTTACATCAGACTGTGCAAACACTAATTTTACTTTAGCAACAAGCACTAAAACATTACAATATGCTCCTATTGATGTGGACTACTTTTGTATCTCACAGTATTTGAAAATCAAGATGATCTTGAATAAATTCGACTGCTTTAATTTGACCCAATGGTGTAAGGTTTGGGGTTTTTTTGGTGTGTTTTTTTTTATTATTTCAACCGGATTTAAAAAAAATTCCACTTTTAAAAGAGTCAAACCAGTACAACTTTTAAAGGATTCTGAAAGGGTTTCAATTCAGGATCAAGGACAAACAACTCTTTGTCCACAAAATTCAGAAAATGAGTGTCTAAGTCTTTGGTTTCTGTGCTTTCTGAATTCTTATAGCTAGGATATTTTGTGAACAGGAGAGCCTGTGTTAGGGGCAGAAAATGATGTTAGGTCAAGTTGGCTAAAGCATCTCTCCTATGAAGAGAGGCTGAGAGGGTTGGGATTCTTCAGACTGGAGAAGAGAAGGCTCCAAGGAGACCTTAGGGCAGCCTTCCAGTACCTGGAAGGAACTTCAGGAAAGCTGGGAAGGGACATTTTACAAGGGTATGTAGTGATAGGACAAGGGGGAAAGGGTTCAAACTGAAAGAGAGCAAACTAAGATTAGATATTGGGAAGAAATTCTTTAGTGTGAGAGTGGTGAGACACTGGCACAGGTTGCCCAAGTTGTGGATGCCCCACCCCTGAAAGTGTTCAAGGCCAGGTTGGATGGGGTTTGGAGCAACCTGGTCTGGGGGTAGGTGTTCCTGCCCAAGCAAAACTTTGAGTTGAACCTCTGGCTCAGGCCTAAGGTGTGTAGTTTAAATAGTCCCACTGAAACAAGAGTATGCATTTTGAGGATGTTTGTGCCTTTTTCCGCAGATGTGCAAACTCCGTGGCCTTTGCTTCAGTGCTGAGAATGAGCCCGTGTGCCATATGGTGGACAACTGGCGCCCGTGTCAGCCTCTGAAGAGCAGAGAAGTTAGAGCTTCCTTCCAGTAACCTCAGTGCTGAGTGTTTTAGAAATTGCTGTGTTCGTGAGGAGCCCTTTTTGCTAAGCACAAATCAAACCTTTGCCACGTGTGCCCTGGCAGCATCTTGTCTCCAGATCCATTCTTTCTTTCGTTCTGCAGCTAAAATGCCAGCTAATTAAATGTGGAAGGCTCTTGGCCAAATAGAAAAGGGTTCTTAAGCTGTGGGGGCTGGGGAAGGCTTGGGAGGGTGGTGGCTGCGTGCATTTTGGTGACTATTTCTGCGACTGACGTTTTGGTGTAACACAGTAAGTTGGCTACTTGGGAGAGAATACAGTGATAGTGAAATAAGCCATTTTAAGAAACCTCATCCACAGGTGTGATAGTTCACATAACTAACGATAACTTGAAGCTTTGTGAAAAGCACAGGAATAGAGAATCTAGATATGATTTAGGAAAAAAAAGTATTTTGAGAAAGTGAAGCAAAACAAATATTGAGATTAGACTTCTTAGATTTTAAGAAACTGACATGTAAATATTTTTGAGACCGTTTTACATTTTTACCCATGCTATCAAAAACCTTGATTATGTGTTAATGATAGTGTTGGATTTTTTTAATTAAAAATGTCCTAAATTAAGTATTACCTTTAAAAGTTCTTATTACCATAGTAATAATAAAAAATCTTTTCATTGAGATAATATATGCTCTAATTTAAAGAGGAAAATAATATTGTATTTTAGATAACTTCTCTAATAAATCTATACTTATATTTATGCTTCCATGTTGTTATTTTAATTCAAGAAAGGAATCACTAATCTGTTTGCATCATTGCATATTAAATGTAATTACTAAATGTGTAGTACATTGGGAATGTTTCAATTACACTGAAGATGAGTGCAAACCTATATGGATATGTAAGGAAATTTTCTCTAAGTAGCTCTAAGGTTTTTTTTTGAGCAATCTCTATAAATTATTGTCAAAGTAGACTGCATAATAAAAGATCCCTCACAAGAATTTTAAACAAAATCATGCTGAAGAATGGTCTTCTCCAAACCAGTTCCTTAAAATTGCCTATCACAGAATCACACAGAATCTTAGGGGTTGGAAGGGACCTCGAAAGATCATCTAGTCCAACCCCCCAGAGCAGGGTCACCCAGATCACATCACACAGAAACATATCCAGACGGCTTTTGAGTGTCTCCAGCAAAGGAGACTCCACAAGCTCTCTGGGCAGCCTGTCCCAGTGCTCTGTCACTCTCAGAGGAAAGAAGTTTTTTCTGATGTTTACATGCAACCTCCTATGTTCCAGTTTTCACCCATTGCCCCTTGTCCTGCCACTAGACATCACTGAAAAAAGCCTGGCTCTGTCTTCCTGACACTCGCCCTTAACATATTTGTAAACATTGATGAAGTCACCCCTCAGTCTCCTCTTCTCCAAGCAAAAGAGACCCAGTTCCCTCAGCCTTTCCTCATAAGGGAGATGTTCCACTCTCTTAATAATCTTTGTGGCTCTGTGCTGGACTCTTTCAGGCAGTTCCCTGTCCTTGAACTGAGGGGCCCAGAACTGGACACAATACTCCAGATGCGGCCTCCCCAAGGCAGAATAAAGGGGGAGGAGAACCTCTCTTGACCGACTAACCACACCCTTTCTAATGCACCCCAGGATGCCATTGGCCTTCTTGGCCATAAGGGCACATTGCTGGCTCATGGTCATCCTTGTGTCCACCAGGACCCTCAGGTCCCTTTCTCCTACACTGCTCTCCAGCAGGTCAGCCCCCAACCTGTGCTGACACATGGGGCTGTTCTTCCCCAGATTCAAGAGTCTACACTTGGCCTTGTTGAATTTAATCAAGTATCTCCCTGCCCAACTTTCCAGCCTGCCTAGGTCTCTCTGAATGGCAGCACAGCCTTCTGGTGTGTCAGCCACTCCTCTCAGTTTAGTGTCATCAGCAAACTTGCTGAGGGCACACTCTGACCTTTACTGACCTTTCTTAAATTTCTTTAGAAAACTTGGTCAAATTTCACCCTTTGAAAAGCTTTCCCTTTAAAAGACCCCCTGCTCCTACCGCAAAAACAGAATAGAAAAACAGAATGTTCCTTTGCCGTAGGTCATTTGTTCTGAGTTTGGCTTTTCTGAATGAAGCTATAAAGGTACTTGTGTCTTCCTGCAACAACTATGCTGACTAATCCAGGTTCTTCATGTTGAATGGTTTGAATACTTTACTGATTCTTAAGTGTCACCCACACGCCTGAGTGCTACACATGTCCCCTAAACAATACAAGGGAAATTACACCTCTAAAATTAGGATTGCAGATCCAATACTGTGGCTTAAAGCTGCTGGAGAAAGACAAGAGGAAGCACCGTACAGAATCACAGGGTGACTGAGGTGGGAAGAGATCTCTGGAGGCCATCTGGTTCAATTCTTCTACTCAAGCAGAATGCCCATAAAGCATTTGAGTATCTCCAAGCATGGAGACCTATGCGATTATGGCATACTTATTTCAGCAGGTTGCATCCTTTTGCAGAAGCTGAAGTGCTTGTTGGTGGTCACAAGCACTAAACTTTCCTGGAATTATGCAGGTATGCCATAACTTCCCCTCAAAGGTGGCAACCCTAATCTTTGCATAATGATTACATGTTAGGGCACTCCTAAAAAAAAAATATATATATGAGAGCCTTGGATTTTCAAACCCATATCTTGACAACTATGATACCCTGCCTACTAGGTGATACGACTTTTTGAGAAGTGGTAATCTCATTGGTACCTGTACAATTTTAATAGTATCCAGGCTAGTTATGTGACAGAGAATGCAAATTTCTCCCTAATGGCTAGGGTAAAAACCTGGAAATGCCTGCAAAGTTCTAACCACTGCTGCAATAAAAAAGTTCCATAAATCATATTCCATCACACTTCAAGGTTGTTCCATAAATAACAAATAACAGCAAAACCAACCAACATCAGCCATATATTTCTCATCTTGTTGGCATGAGCTTGTTTACCTGGAATGTTGCCAGTGCCATATGTTTGCCTTTGTGGAATATGAAGCACTTTTGTATTCAGCCAGACAGTGCAAGCTGATGTTTATGTCACCTACTTGGTGTACTGGATGACCCTGCTGTGTGTCTTAGCTATGTGGTCTACAAGGAACAACATTCTTTTTTTCTTTTTTTTCTTTCTGAAATGAACAAACATAAAGAACCTGTCACCAAAATCCTCACAAGAACTTCTCTCCAGCATAAAATGGTACATGGGCTTATCACAAGTTCACACTTTTCAGTTAGACTCTTGTGCAATGGATAACATTTTCAAGGAAGATATACATATTACCTCAACCCAGAAATTAAGAAAAATTTCCCTGGCATTCATTTCCTGAATGGTGAGTTCAATTAAGATAAAGATAAATAGAACTATCCAGTTCTTCTTCCTGACCTCTATTTTCCCTCATTATTTGCTCATATGAAGAAGTTATAATTAGGTCTTGCAATTGCTCCTCAGCACACTTAAAACCTGTTCTAACATTATGCTCAGACCTGTTTCAACTGGAAAACTGTTTATAAATTCATAATGAAAAAAGAGAGACCACTTTGGTCATGGAACAGAAGAAGTTCTACTGTGGATAATTGTGTTACTTTTAAGTAGACAGCTCTGATTAAAGGGAAAATTATTTAGAAGAAAAAAAGAAAGAAGACTAGCGTGTTAATTTGAAGTCATCCTAAGATACTCAGACAGCACTTTGATGGGGGAAAGAGAAAAGCATGTTCACTTGCAAACTGTTCATTTTGCACAGTTTATAATCTTGTCTCACACTTCTCTGCCAACTCCATGTGTTAGAACATTTTATGATCTCTCCACTGCTATTTTATAAGGGCTTGGTGTGTCCTAGATTGACATAGGCGGGTAGACTGTGATTAGAGATCTTCCCTGGGAGATTCGATAATAATGTCCTGCATGGATTCACAGTTATTTATAGAAGTCCAGATAGTTTATAGAAGAGTATCAGTCAGCAAATGACAGCTTTAGGATTTTCTGACTCTTCAAAGAAAAGCCCTGCAAGCAACAGCTGTGTCAAATCTAGTATCACAGAAAAAAGCAGTGATGAAAACACAGGCACTGGCTTTGTTGAAAAATTCCCATGGACCCTCCAACATCAGCCACTTCCTCTTCCAAACAGCATCTCATACAGTCACATAGCACCCGGTGACAGTTGCTTACACTGAGTGTTTGATGTGTTTTAAGTCTACTGGGCAACTGGATGCTCCATTACTGTCCCCCTTCCTCTTTCAGTATGATGGTAAAGGGCTGTGCTGCCTTCATGCCATCAATGGTTCACTCAAGCTATGAGACTCTCCAGCCACCTAAATGTACAAGTGCAATGGGTGCATGTTCAAAGCCACCTCGACTCCATACCAAGCAGTAAGAAGTTTTTAGACCACAAGTCTTGCTATTTTTTTATCCAAACCACAAACCAAAGACATTTCTAGTATGTCCCTATCCCAATGTGGATTACAGTGTCATGGTTCCCCAAGCTCTCTCTCAGTGTTTATCCAACACTGAGTTCTTCAAGACACACACTTCAGTTCAGAGCTCAAAGCAATGTACCTATGTTGCCTGAGCTGACGGACCCAGGTTCTCAGCAGGGCTCAGTGCTGACATAATGTAGCTGTGTTGCTCCTAATCCCAGAATGGACTCAGTTTTGTCCAGTGAGGATGTCAATGCACTGCAGCATATTAATATTAAAATATATATCCTCAGAACATTTTTTAAAGACAATATATAAGCCCTGTTTTTATAATCTGGTGTGGTTTGAGGCTTGGTAGGTACATATGACAAGAGGCAGTCACTGCTTTTTTGAACGAACACACTGAAACAGCAAAAAAAATGCACTGACAGTATGCAATAAACAAATGATTAAAGCAGAGAGGTAGATATTAACTACATTGTTTTCTTAAGGGATGGGTTCTCATGAGTCCTGTAGCATCATTCAGCATTCAAGGACCTGGAAAATTTGCAGCAAAGTAGTAGAATAGAATAGATTATTTCAGCTGGAAGGGACCACAACTGCCTGACCAATTGGCTGGCCAAGTTATAGCATGTTATTAAGGGCATTGTCCAAATGCCTGTCAAACAAAGACAAGTTTGGGTCATTGATCAGGTCTCTAGGAAGCCTGTTCCAGTGTTTGATCACCTTCTTGGAAAATAAATGCTTCCTAATGTCAGGTATCAACCTCCCTTAATGCAGCTTTAAACTTTCCCATGCTGTCCTGTCACTGGATAGCAGGGAGAAGAGAGATCAGCATCTCCCCCTTCACATTCCCACCTCAGGAAGCTGCAGAGGGCAATGAGGTCACTCCTCAGCCTCCTTGTCTCTGAACTAGACAAGCCCAAAGTCCTTAGCTCCTCCTCATAGGACACTCCTTCCAACCCTTTCAGCAGCTTTGTTGCTTTCTTCTGTCTGGGAAGACCCAAGAACAAACAGAGAGAAAGGTTTGAGTGGTATTTGGGTGCCTTGGACCAGGGATAAAACAGACAGAACTTTTCCTCTACATGAATGGTGTCTCTGAGAGCATGAGAGAGACAGCAAAGCTGACAGGCTTCACAGAAAGCAGAGGCAGCGGCTCTCCCCTGGATGCTGCACTACTAACCCAAAGGCCAGGTCCAAAGGTTTGGATCAGTCCAGTAAGGTGGGAGGACTCCACTTACAGGGTTGATCACTGTAAGAAGTGAAACCCATGACCAGTGCAGGATCCTCTTTGCTGATCCTGT